AAATCCAATCTTAAAAATCAAAGTAATAAGTATGTGTAATTAAAAATAAAGCAAAAGTTGCTCTATGGGTTGTGTTAATAGATGGCCAGCCTCTATTCTACCCTTGCTGAGCCATTAGCTGTACGTAATTGCTATTTCCTGTCTTGTTACTTTGAGGTATTACCTGTTGACTTCCTATTACTGTAGATGAGAATTTTGCTTATCCTCTCCCTCACCCTCCCATTCTGGTTGCCTCCATAGTCACTGCTACATCATTATGACAGGAGCTACTGCCAGCGACTACTTAGTCAAGCAGGGTAACATGGTTACCTAATTTCTCTCACATTCCACCTTTCCCAGGAGTGCCTAATTGATTTACTTTTTAAATTTGCTTAGTGTTCTATGAAATTACCAAAATTTTCCATTAACTCTGTGAAAAGCTTGCCAATATAACTTGCCAAAATGCAAACGTATTATTTGCATATAATTTACTAGCATTAATGATTGATATTTACATATTTATATATTCATTTTATAAAGTATATTATTTCCACTCGATGGTGACGATCACTTCTCTCAGGCCCTGTATGCCTCGCCCCAGTCTGTGGTTCTCTAGGGAGGTGGACCCTGTCACTGTAGCTCCTCTCTTCACCACTGTTCCAAGAGGGACCCCTCTGGGGTCTTTTTTTCCTGTGCTGGATCATTTTCTCCAGTGGCTTCCAATAAAGCCTACCTAGTGGTACATTATTCAAACTTGTGTATGTCTTAAATATCCTCATTTTAGCTTCACATTTTGTTGATTGTTTTCTTGGGTATAAAGTTTGTTTGAAATTAATTTGCATCCCTGATTTTGAAGACATGTATTTGTTCTTCTGACATCTAGTATTCCGGTAGGCAAGCCCTCAGCTATTTGGGAGTTTAGTCCTTTGTATTATAATCTCTTTCTGCTTCTGTCTCTTCATCTCTATTTATTTATTTAATTTTTAAAAATTTATTTATTTATTTGAAAGTCAGAGTTACACAGAGAGAGGAGAGGTCTTCCATCTGATGGTTCACTCCCCAGATGGCCACAATGGCTGGAGTTGGGCTGATCCGAAACCAGGAACCAGGAGCTTCTTCTGGGTCTCCCACATGGGTCCAGGGGCCCAAGGACATGGGCCATCTTCTACTGCTTTACCAGGCCACAGCAGAGAGCTGGATTGGAAGTGGAGCAGCTGGGACTAGAACCAGCGCCCATATGGGATGCCAGCACTTCAGGCCAGGGCATTAACCAGCTGTGCCACAGCGCCGTCCCCCTCTTTTCATGCAGAACTCTTACTACAGTGTGGCTTGATTTATGCAGTTTGCTTATTTAGCTTCCTTTTTATTGTCCTAAGTACTAAGTAGATTTTCCCAATCTTGAAAATTATGTCTTAGTTCTTCATAGTTTTTGTCCCTCTATTTTTTGATTCTTTTGTTTCTGGAACTCTTTTTAGTTGGATGTTGGACTATCTGGGCTTTTCATAACCTTTTAACTTTCATTGTGATAAAAGTTTTTGCATTAAAAGCTCTAAGAAGGAGGCCAGTCTTGTGGGTCTTGTGGTGTAGTGGGTTAAGCCAAAATCTGTAACACCAGCATCCCATTTGGGTGGTGTTTTGAGTCCCACCTGGTTCCCTTATAATCCAGCTCCCTGCTACTGTGCCTGGGAAAGCAGCAGAAGATGATCCAAGTGCTTGGACCCCTGTCAGCCACATGGGAGACCTGGAAGAAGCTCCTGACTCTTGAATTCAGCCTGGTCTAACCATGGCTGTTGAGGCCATTTGGGGAGTGAACCAACAGATGGAAACTAACACTCTCTCTCTCTCTCTCTCTCCTTTTAGTGTCTGCTAATACTAACTGATAGAATTAAAAAGGAGAGAATGATCCAACATGGGAAGCGGGATACACAGCAGACTCATAGAAGGGCAGATGCCCTAAACAGCACTCTGGCCTCAGAATCAGCCCTTAAGGCATTCAGATCCGGCTGAAGAGCCCATGAGAGTATTTTAGGCATGGAAAGCCAAGACACTGTGGCAAAAACAAAACAAACAAAACAAAACAAAACAAAACAAAAAAACAAACAAACCCCTAAATCAAAGATCTCTGTGAGTGAGATCCCAGTGGAAAGAACAGGTCATCAAAGAAGGAGGTGCCTTTCTCTGAAGGGAGGAGAAAACTTCTGCTTTGACTATGATCTTGTCTAAATAAGATCAGAGTTGGTGAACTCAAAATGCTTCCATAGCCTTGGCATCTTATGACAAGAGCCTAGGGTGATTACTGACACCATAAACAAGAGTGTCAATTGGTTAAGTCAACAACAGGAGTCACTGTGCACTTACTCCTCATGTAGGATCTCTGTCCTTAATGTGTCGTACAATGTGAATTAATGCTATAACTAGTACTCAAACAGTATTTTACACTTTGTGTTTCTGTGTGGGTGCAAACTATTGAAATCTTTACTTAATATATACTAAATTGATCTTCTCTATATAAAGATAATTGAAAATGAATCGATGTGAATGGAATGGGAGAGGGAGCGGGAGAGGGGAGGGTTGCGGGTGGGAGGGAAGTTATGGGGGGGAAAAAGCCATTGTAATCTATAAGCTGTACTTTGGAAATTTATATTTATTAAATAAAAGTTAAAAATAAATAAATAAATACTTTTAAAAAGCTTCAAAAAGAAAGAAAATTCAGCATATTAGTATAAAATATGTATCTTAGATAGCAGTAGTTGACAATAAATTTCCTTTAGTTCATACATGGAGTCCAAGTATCAGACCCAAACAACACATGTTTCTGATTATTTGTCTCAACCTTTTTATCATTCATGAGTATGGCAGAACTTACCAATATCCATAGCACTCACTGCTCTATTTATTCCTTGTGTTTTTAAAATTCAGTGAGGTGAGAAATCAGTTTATTACATTCACTCATTTGTTCCTTTATTCAGTGGCTATTGAATAGCCACTATACATCAGCAAATTCCAAAGCCATTGGGGATTCTGATCTGAAAAAGTTAAGGTGAGGAGACAGACATGTAAATGACTAATACAATTTTTTTTAAGATTTATTTATTTATTTGAAAGAGCTACAGAGAGGCAGAGGCAAAGAGAGGGAGAGAGAGGTCTTCCATCTGCTGGTTCACTCCCCAGATGGCCACAATGGCTGGAGTTGTGCCAATCTTAAACTGGGAGCCAGGAGCCTCTTCTGGGTCTCCATGCAGGTGCATGGCCCAAGGACTTGGGCCATCTTCCACTGCTTCCCAGGCCACAGCAGAGAGCTGGATCACAACTGGAGCAGCCGGACTCGAACCGGTGCCCACATGGGATGCCAGCACTGCAGGTGGTGCCTTTACCTGGTATGCCACAGCGCCAGACCCTGCTTAATGCAATTTAATAAGATTAGTGCTAAAATAGAGGTGCAGATAAAGCAGGGTGGAGATGAGAGCCGAGATCATGACCAGGGAGGTCAGTAAGGCTTGACAGGGAAAAACTTGTGGTCTGTGTATTGGAGAGTCAGAGTTCCCAGGGAAATGCAGTGGCTGAGAGGAGGAGAGTTGGAATTCCAGGCAGAGGGAATGGCATGCATAAAGGTATCGTGGCCTTTAAGAACACAGAGTGCTTGCAGAATTGCATGCAAATTTGCAGATGACCAGAGAAGTAGAAGCTGGAACAAATTTTCTTAAATTTTACTCTATCAAATCCTAGTTCTGTGAGATGCCCTACAGAGATTGTTCCCCTGATGAAATAAATTTGGGAAGTGGTGCCTTCTATATTGCCCACTGTCTTACTTGGGAGTCCCTGGAAGCAGACTCTAAGCTGGAGGTGTATGTGCAGAAGGTCTTTGGGTGAATACCCCAGAAAGGCATGGCTGCAAGGAAACGAGGCAGGTGGGGACCTTGTATTCCCACCGCAGGCCACTGGGACTGCCGCTCAAAGTGGATGAGCAGGTGTCCCGCAACCACATGACTGAGTCTATGGCAGAGTCAGTCATTGCTTTTTAGAAAGCTTTTATTTAATAAATATAAATTTCATAGGTGCAACTTTTGGAATATAGTGGTTCTTCCCCCCATACCCACCCTCCCACCCCTACTTCTGTCCCACCTCCTATTCCCTTTCCTATCCCATTCTTCATTAAGATTCATTTTTAATTATCTTTATATACAGAAGATCAACTCTATGCTAAGGAAAGATTTCAGCAGTTTGTACCCACACAGATACACAAAGTATAAAGTACTGTTTGAAGACAAGCTTTACCGTTAATTCTCATAGTACAACTCATTAAGGACAAAGGTCCTATATGGGGAGCAAGGGCACAGTGACTCCTATTGTTGATTTAACAATTGACACTCTTATTTATGACGTCAGTGATCACCCAAGGCTCTTGTCATGAGCTGCCAAGGCTACGGAAGCCTTTTGAGTCCCCAAACTCCGTCATTGTTTAGACAGGGCCATAATCAAAGTGGAAGTTTTCTCCTCCCTTCAGAGAAAGGTACAATATTAGTCATTCTCCAGGCCCTGTTTTCTGGAGAGGTGAGCTTGGCAACTAAATGGGGCTAGAAAGGGACCACCACCCCTACATCCTTTATTTTTTTAAAATTTATTTATTTGAAAGTCAGAGTTATACAGAGATAGAAGGAGAGGCAGAGAGAGAGTTCTTCTATCCTCTAGTTCACTCCCCAGTTGGCCGTAATGGCCAGAGCTATGCCGATCTGAAGCCAGGAGCCAGGAGCTTCTTCCAGATCTCTCATGCAGGTACAAGGGCCCAAGGCCTTGCATCATCTTCTACTGCTTTCCCAGGCCGTAGCAGAGAACTGGATCGGAAGTGGAGCAGCCGGGACTCGAACTGGCGCCCAAATGGGACGCTGGAACTGCAGGTGATGGCTTTACCTGCTATGCCACAGCGCCGGCCCCATCCCCTGCATCCTTTAGGTCCTTACTAGTGAGAATATTTCTTTCTTCCTCCAATTTCCCTTCACCCATATGATGATTTTTCCTTGCAGTCTTGACAAGAGGTGGGAGAAATCTGGAGGTCTCCACTGAGCCTTCTCCATGATGATGTCACAGAACAAGGACCCATATATGGGGGCTACTCCAACTGCCAAGTATGTCAATCCCAATCATACACGCATGGGCTGTGGAAATGGCCATGCAGTAGGTCTGCAGGCCCAGTGGGACCCCTGTTAGTGGCGTGTTACCCAGGTCTTCATTAATTATGTGCCCCATAGGTCACTACTCTAACAGGTGGCCATGATGACACTTTGGATCTCTGGCTGTCAACTCAGACCCTGTGTCCAGTAGTTCTTGAATTGTCTGGTTACTTCTCCTTTCCAAGTGAATGAGTGAAAAGCCATAGTTCCCTTTGAGGAAGGGCTGGGGCATCATTACAGCATATCAGTGTATACCCGGACTTGCTATGGAGTGGCTGACTGGACCACTACTTTAGGCAATAGGTGCTAAATATGAAAATTGGCTCAAGAGACAGTAATTTTTTGTTGAAGATACCACTTCTTTCTTCAGCTTCTTACTCCTTCATTTTGCTTCTCCCAATTTTTTTTTTTTTTTGGATTAAGGTATTAAGCAGCACTATTTTGGTGCTATTAATGCTGTGTCCTATTAACGACCTTGACAATTCTGAGGTCCAGGCTCCTGATTTTGCCTATTGGTAGTGCACTCATGGCCCCTAGCCTCTAGCTGTTAAGTGTGTGCATCTGACCTCTATTTTGTTGATGGCCCCACAATCCCCTTGGCTGTTTATAAGCCCTGCTCTGTGACTGGCTCTCCTAGCATACGCCCAACCTGCAGAGAGGAGCAGCAGGGAACTTCATGTGAGTGTCCCTCTGACTAATGGATTCTCATGACTTTGGTGAAGAGGGGGATCCTCTGCACCCACCCTCTCCTGGAATATCATCCTTGAGTGGGTCTTCTGGCCTCAAAAACACATTCCTTTCTATTCCTTTCTCCACAATCTGCTAGATTAACTCGGGCATTTCTACTTTGCAAAGAGCTAACCATTGATTTTTCCAGGCTTGAGTCACCCCGACCGTGAGTTTTCCCCATTCTCTGGGGGTAGAGTTCTGTCTGTGTATTCTAAGCCTGTGTCTTAAGATTATCAATAAGTCAATGAATTCTTGCTCATTCTGCCTTATGTGATGGTCTCCTTGGTCAAGCCCTCTTAAGGGTAACCCCAGTGTACTCTTCTGGCTGGTGCCAGTACTTGCCATCTAGTTCTTAGCAATTCTTTAGGAATCTATCTCATCTCTCCCTTATCAAACCAAGCACATCACCACATGGGATGATTCTGGGACTTAACTCTTATTAGAGGAAAGGAAGTGAGAGTGTCCTTGAGGGGGAAGGGGGCATCTTGCTTCTCATGTTTCCTTGACTGGGGAGAAGTAGGTCAGCTCTGCACACCCAGATGCTCCAGAGTGGTTGTGGGGCCAACGTCCTTCGAGTCCTGGCTCTGACACAGCAGACCGGATTTGAAGGAGGGCTCTGGCACTCAGTGAGCTGTTGAAATGATCAACTATCCTTGCTGCTGTTTACCAACCAAGTTCTCTCTTACACAGCTACCAATTATGTGTTGACCAGCAGCTCTCAACCCCCCCCCCCCCAATCTTCATGCAAGGTGTAAATGCAACTCTGCTGTTGCATGTCCGCCCCCACTCCATATTTTCCAAATTCCCAAATCATTGTACCTCCCACAACACTTCCATCCATCTTGTGCTAGGGGTTATCTGTATTCAGCCTACAAATCAGGATGGCATTTCCATCACCTACTGGCAGTAGTGAGCCAGCTCTCAGACCCCATCTGAACTTCTTGGAACCCTTTTGGTCCTGCTGGTGTTAATCAGAGACTCTGAGAAGCAAATACCAAGATGGGACTGAACATGCCGTGATGTTATTAGTCGAGATGCCCACTTGAAAGGCCAATGGGAGAACTGCTTGATTGCAGTGCAAGACTAACACTGAGAGAAAGGGAAAAGGATACAGCACTAATGTATTGGAGCTGCCTAACACAGCTGACTGCTGAATTTTCAGGAATTTTGCAAGCTGGTTGTTAAACACAGGCATTATTTAAAAACTAGTAAGATAAAATTGTGATTAACTAAATGATATTAAGACTCCTCATTTTCTAATTATTTTACTGCAATTTTGTGTTATCTGAGCTTTTGTGGTCACCAAGAACTATTGCAATTATTTGGTGGAAAAACCATGTAATGGTTGGGTGGTTCCCTGCTCATTGCAGCTCTGTGTTCTGTGACCATGGGCTGGTAGCTAGAAATCAGCCAAGATGGAATTATCTGCACCATAAAAATGGACAAATGCATCAAATCAGGGCCTGAATTATTGTTTTGTTGATTGTCAGGCTTATGAAAGTGATGGAGAAAATGATAATAATGCATATTAAATCTAGAAAGTATGTCATGTCTATGACTGCAACATTGTGAATAGCACAAAAACTCAAAACACATTTATCCAGAATTTGAAAACCCTTAGCCTTTTCAACAACGAATTCATTTGTGTCATTGCCTAACAATGAAGCTCTGAGACCCACATGGTTCAGTTTTACCTTTGCTGAACCCATTAATGGAGGTGTCAACCCATACTCATGATGGAACTCTGCTCATCCCTTCCTGATGACCACAGGCTCGTGACAGACATGGGATTCAGCAAAAATCAGTGAAAGCATTCTGTGAGAATTGATAGCTAAATGGAATTTTCCAACGACAGTATTGTACATTTTACTATCTATAAGTTGTGTGTTACATATCTTTTCTATCAGCACAATTGGTAACCAAGTCATGAAGTTGGTGAATGGTTACCAGCTCATCTTTGGAGCTGCATAAGTTGGGTGGAAGCACGGAGGTTGCTGTGGGGGAACGCTGAGCCCAAGTCTGCTGGCAAGGAATCCTGTGTCTCCTGGGAAGGGGACAGTACCCCTCAGTACCCCTCCTCCCTCAGTCATTGATTGGCATTAGCCCACAAAAGGCATGGCCTCATTGCAAACTTGCAGCAGGTTTCAAAAACAGACCCCTAGACAGTTGTACTCCTTGTAGCTGAATTTCTTCAAAGCACATTGCCACAGCCTCCGCAGGGGCACCCAGTGTGGTTGGAATAGAAACCTCAGCCTAGCCTGCAGAGCACTCTGGGGCTGGGATGGCCTTTTGGAGGGGTCCCAGATTGAGGCATCAGTCTCTGGCTATGGTCAGTCCCCGGGAGGGAGGCACATTCTTGGGCGAGGCAGTTCTCTGTGCCTGGGGACAATGCCCACTGAGCAGCAGGGCTGTGAGCAGTCAGCTGTGCATGGCCCACGGTTGATATTCCCAGAAGCGGAAGACGAGGTTCATCCACTCCTAAGAGAGGTTTTGTCTGGAGCAGCACAGTATTTATTAGGCCCCCTTGGAAGCTCACAATGTTTATTAACATTTAAAAGGATCTGAGAAATCCTGCATTTAAGTTTGTCTGACCCAGCATTTCCTCCTTCTATTTAACCAAGAAGCCATTTTCTGGGAGTGCATCCTATAGCTTTGTATCCACCTTCAGGCAATGCTGGGTTGGGAGAAAGGCAAGGTCAGACCATAAAGGGCCACGAATGCAGGCTAAGCACTTTTGATTCCATGCTGTGGGCGTGAGAGTGCTATTCTGATTTGACCTGCATTTTGGAAAAAAAGCACTTGGAAGAGAAATGGAGGACTGATTGGTTTGGGAGAGATGTAGGCAGCCAGCCTATTTGAGAGGTTGTTGTATTTTCCATGAGAAAGATGACACGGGATTGGATTTAGGTGGCAGAGAGGAGAGGCAAATCAAAGGAATGCTTAAGAGACAGATCAATAGGGCTTAGTGATAGGTTGTTTTCACATTGCTCTGTGACCTAGCTCAGTGTTGTTCCAGCTCACCCCTCCCTCCCTCCCTCCCTTCCTCCATCCCTCCTCCCTCCCTTCCTCCATCCCTCCTCCCTCCCTCCCTCCATCCCTCCTCCCTTCCTTCCTCCATCCCTCCTCCCTCCATCTTTCCAGCCCTCCCTCCTCCCTCCATCCCTCCATCCTTCCATCCCTCCTCCCTCCCTCCCGTTATCCTCTCCTATCAATAGTCCTGTGTCCCTGCACAGCGTACTTGGCAGTGTCGCCCGCCATCCTGTCCTATGCCCATTCCTGCCGGCTCTAGTTGACTGGGCCCCTCACCTCCTGTGTTCTCGGATGAAGGCAGGCGAGCCAGGCGGCATCTCCTGTGAACCTTATGCTTGCTGCTTTGGCACTTGCCGTTCTGGTCACTTCTCCAACATGTCGGAAGACTTTTCGATCTTTGGTGCAAATAAACAGGAAATGAGGGTGGTATAAAATATTCTCACGGGTACTCTTCAGTGTTACTACTTTTGGAAGAAAATTTCTTTTCAGCAAGAAAGTCTTGTTTCCTTCAACTCTAGAGGAGGGCGGGGTTAGATTTCTAGACTCGTCTCTCCTTCCTCAGTTTGTGTAGTTTCATTGGCAAAAATACACCTCTATGTAGGTTATGATGCCTTTTTTAAATTTTTTTTTTAAATTTTTAACTTTTCCCGGGTAAGGAAGTTCAAGTAAAGGGCTGAAATTAGTTTTCACGGTGCTGAGATTTCGTGTACTGTCAGCCTGCTTCATGTGACTTCACAGGGCTAATGGAAGGAAGTTCTAGGAGAGAGATGCTGAGGGCATTTCCGGAATGGACCCCGAAGAGCAGAGCGCCGAGGCCACCACCAGGAAATACCGGACCAGGCTTTTGTCCTTTCCTTGGGCAAGAGGAGAGGCAAGTTTTCCAAGCACGACAGCAGAATCAGTCCTGAGTTTCTAATTTGGGGAACTTTCTCCAAGCTGGAAAATGTATTAGAAGTCAAGGTCGAAATGAGTTTACATATTCTACATATTTAACAGATTTTGGAGAACAGCTTAGGGCGCCACGTTTTTCTCTTCGGAGTAGGGCAGCAGATTGACAAAGGGGCTGTTTCCTCTTGCTCCGCCCTCTGCGGGGGTGGTGCCACCAGGGCTCTGATCTGACCACGCCTCTTCAGGGAGCCCGGGAAGCCAGCCTCGTGCTTCCTTGCTGCCCGCCTTATGAGAGCCAAGAGGAGCGGCCAGGGCAGTGCTGCAGAGGGGCACGCTGGCTGGCTGGTTCCCGGGGATGTCCTGCACTGGCCGGGCCTTGAGAGGGGCTGGCCAGCGCCTGAGGGGCTCAGCAGAGGCCATGCTAGGAGAGGCCATGCGTGCTCTTCCAAAGGCCATTTGCTGAGCAGAGAGCTGACTGCTGACCAGCGTGAAACGGGAGCCGCTAGCAGGCTCTGCAGCTCCCCACGGTCAGTGCCCTGGAACAGGGCCAGGAACAGAGCCGGGAGGACGCGGCTTGTGGGGGCTGAAGGAGGGACACAGGGGAGACTTGCACGTGATTCTGAGGATGCTGTTGTTACGCCTGCACGTCCTGGACGCTGAGGTTTGGATGCCCAGCGTCACGCATGGAATTGTCACAGCCCTCCACGTGTGTGTACTGGCCCAGCCCAGCAGGAAGACTGAGTTAGCCCTGAGTGGTACATCTTCTCTTTGCAGAACTGTGATGCTCTAAGCCAAGCCATCACATGGTTCTAGGGGAACCCATCTCTTTGGAATGGGCTCCCCAAATAGGGACCCTATGGAAGCCAGAGAAGTTACAACAACAGCAGAATAGGACCCAGAATCTATACATCTAGAAGAAAAAGATACTAGTAAATTGCTGAAAAAAAAAAAAAGAATCAGTCACTGAGAAAAATGGAAAAAAGATGTGAATAAACATTTCAGAGAAGAGAAAACACAGGTGGCCACTAAGGAAAAAATGCTCACTCTCATTAGCAAGCAGGGAAGTATGAATTTGAAATGTAAATTGGGGATATCAATTTATATTTACTTAATTGCCAAAAAATAAAACAGTACAAGATGTTGCTGAGTCCACAAAGCAGAGAGAATTCTCCTGCAAGGCTGTTAGGACTTTCAATCAGAACAATTACATCAAAAACAATTTAGCATTAATTAGCAAAGTTGATTCTGCAACTCAGCAATTATGCCACAAAGAGTATAATTGCAGGAGTATGTATAGTATCATTATTTATAGTATTAAACATTCAGAACAACCCAATATATTCATCAATAGCAGATTGAATAAGTGCATTTTGATATACTCATAAAACAGGGCCCTATGTATCATGAAAATGGAGACAGCTCAGTTCTGTGTATCAACATGGATGATTTTTTTTCTGATTTATTTATTTATTTGAAAGAGTTACACAGAGAGAGGAAGAGACAGAGGGAGAGAGAATCTCCCATCTACTGGTTCACTCCCCAAATCGCGATGGCCAAGATTGGGCAAGGCCAAAGCCAGGAGCCAGGAGCTTCTGTTGGGTCTCCCCCATGGGTGCAGGGGTCCAAGAACTTGAGCCATCTTTCGCTGCTTTCCCAGGTGCATTACCAGGGAACTGGATGAGAAGTGGAGCAGCGGGAATTGAGTTGGCACTCATATGGGATGCCAGAATTGCAGGCATGGGCCTTACATCCCAACACTGGCCCCAACATGGGTGATTTTAGAAACAAAGTAAAAACACACAAAAAAGCAAGTCATAAAGGAATGTATCCAATATGATTACCCTTTCATACGAAGTTGAATGACAGGCAAAAATCAGCAATGTATTTTTTTTTAAAGATTTATTTATTTACTTGAAAGATTTATACAGAGAGAGGGGAGGCAGAGAGAGAGAGAGAGAGAGAGGGAAGGAGGGAGGTCGGTTGGTCTGTCTTCCATCCCATGGTTCACTTCCCAATTGGCTGCAATGGCCGGAGCTGTGCCAATCCGAAGCCAGGAGCTTCTTCCTGGTCTCCCATGCGGATGCAGGGGCCCAAGGTGTTGGGCCATCTTCTACTGCTTTCCCAGGCCATAGCAGAGGGCTGGATCGGAAGTGGAGCTGCCAGGACACTAATGGGCGCCCATACGGCACACCGGCACTGAAGGCAGCGGCCCCAGCAATATATTGTTTAAAGACACACACATACGCTGTCAAACTCAAAGGAAAAGCAGGAAATTAAATAAAATTAGCATAAGGCAGGAAATGGAGAGGGAGAGATGTGACAGGTGACCACAGATGTCCCCTTGATAATCTCCTGTTTTCTATTCTGGGTAGCGCTTGCACGAATGTTCTGTTTATTGCTGTATGTTTGTATATAAGTCTATGAATGATGTATTTTGCAGTTAGAAAAAATGGGAGATGAAGGAGGTGGAAGGGAAAAGGAGACATCAAGCAGCGTTGGGGTCCCTGTGCGAGGTGAATTCAGCGCTGCGTGAACAGTTACTTAAGGGGAGTAGGAACGTCCACACCATTTCTGCAGTGTCTGCTTTGGACACAAAGTGGCTTCTGATCAGATAGGGTCTTTGTGATGCTGGACTGAGGCTCCCTCTGCAAAGCATGGGGTTGGGGATGGCTTTCTGAGGAAGCTAACCTTGAGCTGGCAGCCTGACAGGTGGGTGGAGGATGGCATGTCCAAGGAGGTGCAGAATTGCTGTGAGGTAGTGTGAGTGACGTTAATTCAACAAATATTTGCTGAAGTTTTATTAAAACAAAGGAACAGGGACACATAAAACTCTGAAAGTAGTGTCATGCGTTTGCATGGATGAAGCGGCAGGTGTCAGGAAGATACTACTTTCAGTTGCAGTAGAATTGGGCACACCGTAGGCGGAAGCATCCTCTGAGTATTGCTAGAGTCAGGCATCAGTTTTACCCATCCAGATGCAGGGAGCACACGTTCTCAGAAGAGAATGAGCAGAGGACGGAGGAGGGAACTTCTGGGTTCATTCGAGCAACGGCGAGTGGTAGTGAGTTCACATTAATTGCAGGAGTTGGAAATTCTTTCGGTAACTGACCAGATGGTGAACATTTTGGGCTTTGGGTGCAACGTGGTCTCTGTTGCAAAGACTGAACATTGCTGCTGCAGCAGGAAGGGGCCACAGACACAATGGGTGTGGTTATTTTCCAGTGAAACTATAAAAATATATGGTAGACTGGATTTGGCCCATTGCTCAGACTTGACAAACTCCTCATTTACTGGATGCGTGCCCCGTGACGAGCTCTGTTAAGCACTTTGTATACATTATCTATTTGGAAAATAATTATGGGAGTAGGGGACTGTTATTACCGTTTCTTTTTATTTAACAAACATGGAAACCAAGGATCAGAGTGATCAAGGTCACTTAGTACCATCTAGTGGAGGCAGGGTTTGAATCAGAATTTGCCTCCATTTTTCACTGCTTTTTGTAAAATGTTTCTTTTTATTTTGATGGCACAACATCAGTGATACCTGGGTGGATGTGTAGCTTCTGTTTTCTTGTTCACTCTCTCAAATGCTTGTAATAGCTGGGGCTGGGCCATGTTGAATTCAGGAGCCTGGGACTCCATCTGGGTCTGTCTCCCACATGAGAGGCAGGGACCCAAGTATCAGAGTCATCGCCTGCTGTCTCCCAGGGTATACATTAGCAAGAAGCTGGACAGGTAGTAGAGGTGGGACTCAAACAGAGGCACTTTGCTAATGGGAGGTGAGTGTTGCCAGTAGTGGCTTAACCCTCTGTGCTACAACTCCTATATCTACGATTCATTCTTAGTCACTAGCTGCCCTGACACTTAGAGGGATAGTTTGAGGGATGGCTCCAGCGTGAAGATCCTTGATGCCACGTGGAGAGCCGTTGTGGTTAAATAACAGAGGGCCATGGGAACTCTTCTATACCCTGTTCTTCCCAGCCTCATTGCCTTCTTGAGATATAGCCTGTTAAGCTGCCTCTCGTCTCTCTTGGGCTCTCCCAAGTAGAGTGTGAAAGACAGGTTCCAAGGTCATTGCCAGCACAGCAACAGGAGGGGCCAGGCCAGTGTGGCAGCAAAGAGGGTGACTGCCAAGGGGCAGCCAGGGGCAGCGAGCCTGCAGTCAGTGCTGGGAGTTTTAGATGAATAACACTCTGGGTAGGTTCTCTGGGCTTGCTATGGTGAAAACAAACACACACCCCTTGTTGGCTCCTGGTGAGATCCTGCTGTGATTTCTGCCACCGTTAGTAACCTGTTCCACAGCAGCCCTCTAACTTCAGAGAGAAGTTTGGCAAGCTCAAATTTTCCATTTCTTCCTTCCTTGCTTCCTCCTCCTTTCCTTCCTTCTTTCCAATATGCTTCTAATTTCAGAATAGCACTAAATTTACAAAACAAAGTTGTAAAGTTAGATAAAGAGTTCCCATACACCCATATGTCGCTCCCCCTCTTCGTGGAGGAACGACACAGGACCCTGCGCTGTTCTTTCGTCTGCTCGGCCCTCCCCGGGTCTGCTGCTGGTTCTTCCCGGGGTTGTTCCCCCTGGCCACATTCCCCACTTCCGCAGGGGAGCGGCACACCGCCGGCCGGCTCTCTGGGGGCTGCACAGGCGTTCCTTCAGCTAGATGTTCCCCATAGATGTTCCTGGTGCATGCCGTCTCTCTCCTCCTTTATAGTCCTCCTCCGCCAATCCTAACTCGGCTGCCCACACGCCGAGTACGCTGCTCTCCAATCAGGAGCAAGTCCTACAGTTTATTGGTTGAACTGGAGGCAGCTGGGTAGAAGCTGTTTTCTCCTCTCCCAGCGCCATATTGTAGGAGAGCAGATGCATAGAATAAGTCTTAATTCCAGTAACAGTCTAGTCCGAGCTGCTCCCCACAGAGGAGAGCAGATGCATAGAATAAGTCTTAATTCCAGTAACTTAGTCTAGTCCGAGCTGCTCCCCACACCCATACCCATCTTCCCCTATTAACATTTCATATTAGCATATTTGCCACAACTAAAGAACCACAACCAGCTTCCCCCATTTCTTTATCCAGATTCCCTCTAGTGATCGCCAGTCTGTACTCAGATGGATTTTTTTTCCAAACTCTCACCTTTGAGGGAGAACATGCAGCATGTACCTTTCTGTGTATGGCTTATTTCACTTAACATGATGTCTTCCAGTTTCATCCTTTACTATGGCTGAATAGCAGTGCACTGTATATATGCCACATTTTATTCATCCATTCGTTTGATGATGGAAATCGTGGTTGATTGCCTACCTTGGCTGTTTGTAAACAGTACTGCAGTAAACATGGTAGAGCAGGTATCTCTTTGATGCGATGCATTCATGTCTTTTGGGTGTAGACTCAGTTGGGGGATTGCTGAATCCTAAGACAGTTGCATTTTCTAAGTCTTCCCAGGAGGAAGAAGCCCCTCTTCTCATTTCACCAGGGGGCAGTCACTTGCTCCATCACAGAGAAAACAGGAACTTAGGAGAAAGGATCCCTCCCCAGACCACGCCTGAAAATGGGCTGGACAGAGGATGCAAATCCATCGCTAGTTGTGCTTTACCCAATTCCATGCCTTTATGATCAAAAAGGGAGTTTGGGACCAGATCTTGAAGATCTTCATGTTATACTGTAGGTTAGTGCCATCAGAAGTGGGCTCCAAAGAACCCTACTGTGACAGTGTATTCTTCTAAAAAGTTCCAGAATCAATGTTAGGGAAGCTCCATGTGCTTGCCTACCTCTTGGAGCCATATGATGCAGGGTGGGACTGTGGGAAGTTCTATAGTACAGAGCAGTGAGTACATCTTTGAGTATGGCATTCCCCAAATTAATTGGCCATACAAGATCTTTACTTTAAGTAACATTTACTAAAATTCTGTGGTTCTAGGGTTCCCCAGATCTCATGTTGGGAAATAATGTCTCTAGCAATTAGGGTCAAGAATATATTTTAGAAAAAGTAAGATCACTGGATAACCTGGGATTTAGAAAAATAGGCAGAAGATCAAAAGCTTAGTCAAAAAAATTAGATTCAAGCTAGGCAAAGGGATCTAACTTTTTTTTTTTTTTTTTGACAGGCAGAGTGGACAGTGAGAGAAAGAGAGAGAGAGAGAAAGGTCTTCCTTTTCCGTTGGTTCACCCCCCAATGGCCGCTGCGCCGGCGCATCGCGCTGATCTGAAGCCTGGAGCCAGGTGCTTCTCCTGGTCTCCCATGCGGGTGCAGGGCCCAAGCACTTGGGCCATCCTCCACTGCACTCCCTGGCCACAGCAGAGAGCTGGCATGGAAGAGGGGCAACTGGGACAGAATCCAGGGCCCTGACCGGGACTAGAACCCGGAGTGCCAGCGCCACAGGTGGAGGATTAGCCTAGTGAGCCGCTGCACCAGCCAAAGAGATCTAATTTACATCAAGAAAAATAGTCCAAGTAAAATGAGGGTTCCAAGCATATTTTTAAAATTTACTTATTTTTAAAAGCAGAGTTACAGAGAGAGAGAAGAGAGATTACTTTTCTATCTCTTCACTTCCCAAATGGCTGCAACAGCCAAGGCTGGGCCAGGTCAAAGCCAGCAGTCCAGAACTCCACCGGGTGGCTCACCGTGCTGTGATGCGATGTTGGCCCCTTACACAGCTGCCTTTTAAAATGGGAAATACCAGTGTTAGTTCCATTGTTTTCTGAGTCCATATAGTGAAGTCATACAGCAAGTATAGGCCAGGACAACACTGAAACTCCAGGCTCTGGATCTGGAATGGGGATTTATAGTTCATACCAGGGGACTTCAAAGAGTTTGTGGGAAATATTTCAGGGGCCAGAAATGTGGCATAGTGGGTAAAGCTGTTGCCTGTGATGCCAGCATCCCATATGGGTGCTGATTCGAGTCCTGGTTATTCCGATTCTGATCCAGCTCCCTG